ACAAATGTGATAGTAATTATGTACAAGGTAGATTATAGTGGAAAAAATGAACATATTATTATATGGGGAAACTTATGGGCCTCTTAAGGCTTCATTTAGCTTATGTAAAATACATATAAATCCACAGAAAACAGAGGAAGATGACAAAGTTAATGCCTAACTTCAGAAGATAGGTTAACACTGAACTTATGCCCAGAGAAAAACACAGTAGTGGAGAATGTGACTGATGTGTACTGATGGAAACTAACATAGAGAGAGATATAATAAGGTGCTAACACTTTTAACTAAGACAGAAACCTGTAAGGCAGTTATTCAGTGTCAGTAAATTCGGATATAGAAATAATTGAGTTGTAGATGAGTGGTATTAAGTGACAAACTGAGTGATTAATGCCTATAATTTAAATATATTTAAAAGTGGGCAAGTGCGAGAGACACAAACAAATATATTTATTTTTATCTTCATGCATGACTGAGGCAGCCCAGGATGAAGGCTACATCATGCACTCTCACCTACATGGCTTGGATAGGATCAAGCTATCTTTGCATACCCAGGTTAAGACTGACTAATTCCACCAGTTACCGATGTCCTAGCAGCCAACACATCTTATTATACACAAATAACCCGCACATAAAAGAAAGAAGCTTACGACGACGTTTCGGTCCGACTTGGACCATTGACAAAGTCACTGTGACTTTGTCAATGGTCCAAGTCGGACCGAAACGTCGTCGTAAGCTTCTCTCTTTTATGTGCGGGTTATTTGTGTATCGTTCCAGTCACGGTATTGTGCCTTTTTGTTATTTACATATTATCTCAATAATCAGGTGTCCCGGTGTGCCCAAAATAATTAAAAAAAGGGGGATGTGCTTGTATCACAATGGGGGAAAACCATCACGGGCCCACGATATAAGATCAAGGCATCAATGCTTATCTTAGCTCTGAAGATGTGAACTCTGAACCATTATAATGTGACACCACTTGTGTCAGTGTTAGATCATTCACTCTAGCAACCTTGACATTGTGAATACTGCGAAATATTGTGGAAAAACTGTGAGATATTATGAAATAAAGTGAAATACTGATTACTGCTAATGAATTTCATATTAATATATAAATATTTCCAATTTGATCCAAAAATTACACATTAGCAAAGAACACCACTTGAAGACTCTTATGTGTTCTTGTGTTTTAAAGAGTGCTATTAAGGTAAAGCATTATTAAGGTAAACCACTCTTAGAGTAAAGCACTGTTAAAGTCCTCGAGATAATGGCAGAGTAAACTGTCTGGAAAAAATAGATAATATTGTTATGAGATTTATAGAGCCTAGTATCTCTTCTTCTTTACAAATATCAGGGCCATAAATCTTCATTATCTCACCTTGAAGTATAATTATTAGGTTACTGGACACACACACACACACACACACACTCAAGGAAAGAGATCTTGGGGTGAGTATAATACCGAGCACATCTCTTAAGGCACACATCAACTAGATAACTGCTGCATCATATGGGCGTCTGACAAACTTAAGAAGAGCGTTCCGATACCTCAGTAAGGAATCGTTCAAGATTCTGTACACCATATACGTCAGGCCCATACTGGAGTAGGCAGCATCAGTTTGGAACCCTCACCTGGTCAAGCACGTCAAGAAATAAGAGAAAGTGCAAAGGTTTGCAACAAGACTAGTCCCAGAGGTAAGGGGAATGTCCTACGGAGAAAGGTTAAGGGAAATCGGCCTGGCGACACTGGAGGACAGAAGGGTTAAGGGAGACATGAAAACAACATATAAAATACTGAGAGGAATTGACAAGGTGGACAAAGACAGGATGTTCCAGAGATGAGACACAGAAACAAGGGGTCACAAGTAAGTTTATTCAGGTATACACAAATACAGTTACATAGATTATCATAACAGAGTGACTTATTTATATTGGGATCACAATTGGAAGTTGAAGACTCAGATGAGTCAAAGGCATGTTAGGAATTATTTTATCAGTCATAGAGTTGTCAGGAAGTGGAATAGCCTAGAAAGTGACGTAGTTTACCGGAGAGAGCTTCGAGGGCAGGAACCATACATAGTTTTAAGACGAGGTTTGATAAAGCTCATGGAGCAGGGAGAGGACCCAGTAGCGATCAGTGAAGAGGCGGGACCAGGAGCTATGACTCGACCCTGCAACCACAAATAGGTGAGTGCACACACATACACAGATATGACAATGCCCTGCAAAACCAGGATGTTCCAGAGATGGGACACAGAAACAAGGGGTCACTCTGACTTTTTTGGGTTCTTTACACATATGCTGCTATGTATGATAATTCTATGTAACGGTATTTATGTATACCTGAATAAACTTACAGTTGGAAGTTGAAGACTCAGATGAGTCACAGGGATGTTAGGAAGTATTTCTTCAGCCACAGAGTAGTCAGGAAGTGGAATAGTCTGGCAAGTGACGTAGTGGAGGCAGGAACCATACATATTTTTAAGACGAGGTTTGATAAAGT